TTCCCTCCCGACCCCGCACTCACCCGCCCGGGTCTCGGTCAGGACCAGGGCCCCCGAGAGCAGCAGGAGGAGGGTTCGGGGCGCCACGACCCCCATCCTCTGTGTCGGGGGAGAGTCTGAGTCCCGGCGGGACCGTGGGGACGCTGATTGGCTTCTCTAGAATCCGGACACGCAATGGGAGTGAGGACTGGGGCCGCGTCAGGAGTGTCGGGCAGAAGGACCCGACACAGGTTGTGAGAGGGAGAAGTGAAAGTCCGGGGACATGGGGATCCCCAGTGCTCGGCTTCCCTGCCAGACACCACCCTCGGGCCTGAGGCCCTGCGACCCTCGCCTGGGGACCTGGGACTTGGCCCTGACCCCTCTCCTCGTGCACGTACTGTTCTTTGTCATACTGTCTCCCTGAGTCCTGGCCCAGAAACTGAGGAAAGCAGGGAGAGACCCCTAGGCTGGACCCAGCCCTTTCCCTTCACTTCTCTCCTGGAATCCCTCTCCCTGAACCGGACTCTCTGCCTCCCACTCCCTACCTCTCACCCTGGACTCTTCTAGAAGAAAACTCACCCTCAGGGAACTTGATGCCCTAGATGAACTCACCCTAGGAATGGAGATGGAGAGGACAGAGATTTTCTCTTTAAAACTGGAGAAGTTATATCTGAACGCACCAAATGGAGATTCTGATAGAGACCACATTCCTTTTTGATTATAAACTATAGTGGGTAGCACAATCTGGTAACCCCTGAATGATCAGGAATCTAATCTGTACAACAAGAAGAGATTGTGGTCGAGATTGTGGTCCCTTCACACATAGATATGTCATAACCGCATTGCAGTTAGACTCACAAAGCTCCTGTTTTACTTTTCCAGACCATGTATCTGTGACTCAGGTTGTTGTAATTTAAAATTATTTTCATTCCACAGCCCTGAGTTTGTATCTCTGAGTCCAAGACACATCCTCAGAACAAAGAGGCACAATTTGTTGCTGTGCATTTCAGCTAGAAGCTTGTACAAACTTCAACCACCTCAGAGTTGCAAGTGCTCAGTGCAGGCGCAGTGTCCCTCACCAGTGCTCATGCGCTGCCTTTTTTATGAATCACTCACATCTGAGGGGTGTGCATATTTTATTGGGACACGTGTTTGTTTTTTTAGCCTGATGAACATAAAGAGGCGATTAGTTTTTATAAATACCAAACAAAGAATACCCTGCTAGGCTGTGTAGATATATGTGTTTTTAAAAATCTATAAAAACTATCTCTGTTCCGGCCAGCTGCAAAAAAAAAAAAATCATAAAACAACCTTTTTTTTTTTTTTGGCCGCTGACCAGTACAGGGATTGACCCTGGAACTTGGTGTTATCAGCACCACTAACCAGCCAGCCCTAAAACAGTATCTTTAAATCTGAATATTCCATGCCTTTAGATTTCTTTACCCCGGCTTCTCCAACCCTTCTCTCTGTCCCTCTCATCCCTCAGGCCCTCTTCTCCCTTCAGTCCCCATCACCTTCTCACTCCTGAATTATGGCAATAGCTCTGTCCCCTCAACTGCTACCCATTGACTAGTCTCCCCACAATGGTCAACAGTCCTGTTAATGAGTCAGATTGTGTCATTTCTTCACGGAAAATGTTCCAATGGCTCCATCTCACATAAAACTTCTAGAATATAAGGCACATGTATTAGTCCATTTCTGTTGCTTATAACACATACCTGAAACTGGGTAATTTGTAAGGAAACAATATTTACTGCTTACAGTTTCCAAGGCTGGCAAGTCCAAAGTCCAGAGAACACATCTGGTGAGAGTCTTGGTGGTAGATGGTGACTCTTCATAGCAAACCAGGGTGTCACATGGCAAATGGTGGAAACAGAAAGAAAGTTAACTCCTTACTCCTTCTTCTTTTAAAGCCCTCAGAACCATGCCCGTGACCAATATTAAATCATCAATAAATTAATCCATTTGCTTGGGCATAGTCCTCACAATCTAATCACCTCTTCAAGGCCCCATATTTCAATAACCATAATAGGATTTTCCACCCTTGTAACACTGTCACACTGGGGACCAATCCTCAATGAGTTTCGGGGGACATCCAATCCATAGCAGCATCCCAGGGGCTTAGAGCTGTTTGGGCCAAAGCTGTATCCCCAGCATATAAAGGCATACATGTTACATAGTAGGCACTAAATTAATTTTGTCAAATGAATGGAATGAAATATGATCGTATTAAAATTTAAACACATCACATGAAAATCACAAAATGAAAAATACTGAAAAAGTTAGGAAAGATTTTATTTCATGCAACTTATGTTCATATCTCTTCATATATTCCTTCTGCTGGAGAAAGTTATGTGCTTATTTATTAGACAGTACATTAATTTTCTATTACTGCGTAACAAATTATCACAAACTTAGAGGCTTACAACAATACCCACTTATTCATTTACAGTTTCTTAGTCAGAAATCCAGGCAGGGTGTGGATAGATGGTAATGATTAGAAGTTTGAAACAGAAAAAGAAAAATAAATAGATAAATAAAATAAAGGAAAAGTTTGAGAGAGAAAGAAGATACAACAATATCTCAAAGTTTTTCTTGCAAGTGTCTCTAGTGATAATGTTCTCTTCAAGAACTTGCAACAAAGTTGAGAATGTATAGTAGCTAGAATAGTTCTAAGACTTCAGTGCCATAGCAGTAATGCCTTTAAAATAATAACTGTCATTGTTTTTCCTCGGTAGTTAAAGAATGCCTAAAGTGCCAATTTTCTTACTCAAACATAATCTTCAAATATCTTTGCCTAATCAGATTGCTTTTCAGTTAGAAAAATGTGAATATCATGCATCATTCTTACACCTACTTTAGCATCATGACAACAATTTTCATGTGATGCAGTAATAAAAATAGTTAAATCCAATCTGTAACAAGGTTTTTCAAAAACTGGATATTCAATAGGCATCCTATAATAAATTTAACATCTTTCACTGGGTTTTTTAATGAGATGTGGTAGAAGTGATTTGGACACCAGTATGATTCTGAAAAGCACTGTTATTATGTGCTTCTGAAGTTTTATTTAAAGCAACTCTATTGTGCTTTCCATTCATATTTGCTATTCCATCGCTGGTTATTTCTTTATGTTTTCCCGTTTAATTTATTTTAATTAATGATGTGCTATTCCGATTCTGTAGAAGTTTAATTCAGTTGTACGTGTGGTAAATTGTAAATAACACATCAAATCCTTTGCAAAGTAGAATTGCCTTGCACATCGCATTGAATATTGTGTACCAGAAAATCTACCGAGATGAGATGTGGTAGAAGTGATTTGGACACCAGTATGATTCTGAAAAGCACTGTTATTATGTGCTTCTGAAGTTTTATTTAAAGCAACTCTATTGTGCTTTCCATTCATATTTGCTATTCCATCGCTGGTTATTTCTTTATGTTTTCCCGTTTAATTTATTTTAATTAATGATGTGCTATTCCGATTCTGTAGAAGTTTAATTCAGTTGTACGTGTGATAAATTGTAAATAACACATCAAATCCTTTGCAAAGTAGAATTGCCTTGCACATCGCATTGAATATTGTGTACCAGAAAATCTACAGAGATGCCAGTGAGCAAAACAGCACATAAACTACCTCCAGCAAATGCTATTTTTATGGCATCCTGGTCCTCTCTCACACATGGCTCATAACAATTGGCTATGGCTTTGTTCCAATGTCAGTAGTTCTTGCTAAGGATCCTTACAATGAACTTTGGTATTTTCTTTTATCTTTTTTTTTTTTTTTTGGCAGTTGGCTGGTAAGGGGATCCAAACCCTTGACCTTGGTGTTATGAGCCCCATGTTATAACCAAGTGAGCTAACCGGCTAGCCCTTCTTTTATCTTTGATTTTTTTTTTAATTAATCAGGAATGGTTCACAACCAGCAGTTTGAAAAATGCCAGTTTAAGTTGTTATGATGAAGTAGATATCTAGGCACCCACTGGCATAAGAAACAGAACCTGTGAGGCCACCGAGGGCTGCTGTCCTATCCCCTCCCCCAGGTGGAACCGCTGTCCTGAGTCTTGTGTTTAGTATTACCTTCATTTCTCTGAAGATTTTCACAGTGTTTATATCCCCAAACCAAATATTAGTTTGTTTTGCCTGTTTTTAAATTTTCTGTGCAGTGAACTCATACTATATGTATTCTTCTGTGACAGAACATCACATGTCAGAGAATGATCCCTGATGTGCGTGGCTGTCGTTCATTCATTTTTACTGCTGAAGTTTTATACTTTATAAGCATATGACAGTTTTGCTACTTTTCTATTGATGTATATGTAGTTGATTCCAGTTTTCCCCATATATATATTATTGTATGTGTCTCCTGGGCACATAGGCAAAAAGTCCCCATAGTATATGATCAAGAGTAGAATTGTTGGATTACATGGTGTACATATTTTAACCATACTAGATTTGATTTCCAAAGTACTTGTACCAATTTACACTTTTACCAGGAATGTGGGAGAGTTCTTATTGCTGAAGTGTTCTGTATTAGTCCATTTGTGTTGCTACAACAAATACCTCAGACTGGGTAATTTATAAGGAACAGAGGTTTATTTGGCTTGTGATTTTGGGACCATTGCATCTGGCACGGGCCTCAGGCTCCTTCTACTCATGGTGGAAAGCAGCAGGCAGGTGGTAGGTACAAGCAGATCACATGGCGAGAGGAAGCAAGAGAGAGGAGAGAGAGAGAGAGAGAGAGAGAGAGAGAGAGAGAGAGAGAGAGA